ATTGATATCTGTTTAGAAAATATATCAGTCGGGGGAGTTACAGAATTTTTACACAAGCTAGAAATTTATATTCATAAAATCAAAGTTAAAAAAAAAACTAGTAATATTAATTGAATAAACTTGCAACAAGACTGAAGAAGCTATTAACACATATATGTTAAAGCAGAGTACATGGAATACTTAAATGCACTATGCGTTTAAGATTTTACACCTTTAATACATGATGCGTTCAAGTTTTAACACTGCCGTGGATCAAATAACACATGAACATGTTAAAATTGAACACTACTTTTTACAGTGTACAATTATTCAATCTGCTAATATAAACATAAATTAAATTGTAATTTTTCATGATATTAGGAAAAAGTTTTTTGTAACGTCTGTCTTTCTTGCTGGGGGGGGGGGGGGTTATTCAATTTCATTGTCAATAATCGCTAACAGTTAGTCGTTATAAAAGTTCCAGGTCAAGATCATACACGTCACTTTAGCTATTTAATATTTTGTAAACAATTCGTGCGCTTACAATAATTTGGTGTTGCCAACTGATAGTAATTTTTCAGTCACACTATATTTTCCACTTTTTTGGTCCCCAGCCCGTGACAACGGAGGGACTATAGGTTTCTTCCTCGTCTGTCTGTCTGTCTGTCCACTTGGTGTTCTGTACTTTTTTCTAAACGCTTGAAGATTTAAAGCAATTTTTAGTATATATGTGTATCTTGACTAGTTAAGAACAAGTTTGCCTTTCATTCCGCTTTAATGGTATTTGACGGATTTACGGCCTTTTTAATTTTGAAGGGTTTTCTGCATTTTTTCTTCTAAACGCTTGCAGATATTGTGCTGATTTTTGGTATGTGAGTTGACCTTGATGAGTTATAGATCAAGTTTGCATTTTTCCTATTCCCCTTCAATGATTTTTTTTGACGGAATTGTGTCATTATCAATTTTTACACTCTCAGAATACTTGTTTTTACTGATAAAGCTGTCACTTGTGAGGCATACATGTAGACTTATTTGACATAATCTATATAACATATTTAGAGAATTTACTCTAGTTTACTCCCTATGCCTTTCTTTTGCTTATTACCTTTTAATTATATACTGTGATTTTCCTACAAATGGTTATGTAAGTGTTTTTTTTTATTTGAAACACTTCACACTTCGTAAAATCTACTAAAACCATTGCGTTTAAGGATATCCGATCCTCAGCCAGGAAGGATGACTCTTAAATTTATTATTTCATTTAAAACATCTCAAAATGAAGCATAAAATTGAGATATTTTCGTGCAACAATTTTCATTTTATCCATCTCAATATGATTCAAGGTTTTCTGAAGTCTTAGACACGGTCTTTTAAAAAATTGATATTTGTACCCCATAATAGAAAAAAAAATGTTTTTGTTTGTTTGTTTTATTTTTGTTTAACGTCCCTCTCGAGAATTTTTCATTAATATGGAGACGCCACCATTTGCCGGTGGAGAGCTGCAAGTTTTGACCTAGGCTCAGCACTTAGGGCCATTGAGCAGTGAGGGATCTTTTTCGTGCCAGCACCTACTGCGACACAGGACCTCGGTTAAAACGGCCTCATCTGAAGGACCGGTCTCCACTTGCCCACAGTGGGATTCGAATTCGCGAAGCATGCAAGGATCAACTCCTTACTCTGCGACTCTAGAGCAGATGCTCTAACCACTGCACCACGCGGGCGACGAAAAGATTTTTTTTTTTTTTTAGAGAAATCGAATTTCCTTTAATCTAGCATTAGATACCAATGCTTATTAGCATGATATGAAATGAGACGTGATCTGTGATGTCTAGCAATGATAACACAAGCATTTTACACTACGTATTATATAACAACTTAAGCAAATAGAAGCACTTTAATATTGTATTAGCATAAAAAAGATGCAATTTTCTCCAAATGCCTGGATACCTATACTTTTTTTATCCTAAAATATATTTGTTAATCAAATTTCAATTAGAAAATGCACAGCTGGTGTTTTCATTCGCATTTCCTGACCTGAAAATATATTTAAGATTTGATAATTTTTCCTATATAATATGATTAACTTTAATGATGAGCTTTAAGGAAATACCATGGGTAAATTCAGGTTACTCTGAAATCAGAGACATTTTTGTGAGCATTTTCAATTACTTAAAAGCTGATATTCAAAATCTGAGGATCGCATTACCTTAACCGATCTTTTAACTGCTTCCACGTGTGCCTTTATATACCATTGCATGATCAAAATTATTACATTTTTACATCTCCCAAAGACATACATGGTTTATTTGTAGATATGCAGTGGAAACGTGGATATGCAATTAATTCTTCCCTTTACTTCATATGTCCCTTTGTTTTATTATCAGTCCATGATTATCTGTCACGGAGATTTCTTCCTTTATTTAGTATTTCCTGTTACTCATTTCTGAACAATGTTAATGTGATATAAAGGAAGTTATCCACCCAATTTTAATTAAATTGGTTATAATGAGTACATTATATGCAATGTAAACATCACTTCTATATTGGCATATTTTGCCACCACTTGTCAGATGCATGTGTTATGTTCACTTTTCAGATATTTATGTAAACTTGTCAGATCTTTTTTTTTAAAATTCTCATAGTACCTAGATATGCTGATTATTATCAATTTGTCAGATAATAATCACCAAGGCTAGGTACTCAGTATCTTGTCATCAAGGCCTATAAATACCACTTCCTGACGTCCACAAGTCAATATAATTTCTGACAAGTCGATATACGTGTGCTACGAGTCATCATATTTTTCTGACAGGTCTACATTATTTTCTGACAAGTCGAAAATACATGTATTTATCTGACAAGTTGACAAAAGTTTTTGACAAAGTGTCCTATTTATGTGACAAATTAACATAATTTTTGACAAGTTTTCATAATTATCTGGTTAGTCGACAAAAGTTATCATGCATTTAAATCATGAATTCGACTCACCTGATTATGAAGTCGACTTGTGAGATGTTATGTTGATTTAGAAGCTTGTAATCATATGAAGCAGATTTCATTAAAAAAAACTTCTACGTGAGAAGAAAAAAAGCTTCCTGTGTCCTTCAACTCGACATTAAGATATATCGACGACGTATTATCAGTTCACATAGTTACTTCGATTCATATGTCCGATCATGATATGGAGCACACAGCGGGTCCGACTGCTCGACAGGGGATGCTTACTCCTCCATGGCACTTGATTCCGCCTCTGATGTTTTTGGAGGTCCTTGTTTGCTTTGCTCCCGATCTGTATCGTTTAAATGGACTATGAGCTTGAATCCTGTTCGTTATCTCCATATTTCATTTTATCCGCCTCTCAACACATAAAATTCAATTTTACATCATCTTTAGATAATATTCTAATGTATTTTTACTGTAAAAAAATATGACTTAATCCACCTCTCAACACATAAAATGCAAGGGTGTATAAAGAGTAGTAAGCACATATGAAATCAATCGGGAAGGGTTTTAAAAAGATGTTATATCTTTTATAAGAAAAGTCTGTGTTGTTATTTTTCAGGCTTTTAAAACATATTGTAAAACTATTCCTAAAAAAAATCAGTAAAAAAGTAATTACAATCATTTAAACCAAAGAAATACAAGTACATTAATCTTTGTCAATTAAGAAATCAAAAGACAGGGACAATATTTGAGAGTGTTTATATCTTTTATGTTTCAGATAAACAGTCTTGGATGCCTCTATTGATTTGGTCAACCCCACTAACAAATTCGTGATCATGATTTTAAAAATGCAATATTGTGTACATGTACCATCCATCGTGAACACTTGTGAAGTGCAGACATAACATCATTCACTTTATGGATTAAAAAAGAAGATTGATGCTCTTGCTAGTACAATAAAAAAAAAATCAAAATATTTAAAATCGATTTTCCATCGTGAACACTTGTGAAGTGCAGACATACATGTAACATCATTCAATTTATGGATTAAAAAAAGAAGATTGATGCTCTAGTACAGTAATAAAAAATCAAAATATTTAAAATCGATTTTGTAGAGAACATGTCGACACAGTGTTATATCAATATATGCAGGAAGTTTGTCTTGATTTGGTACACACGGTCACCATGCATGCGTTCTCCATTCTAAAGTATCCGGGGTAAATAAGTATTACGGAATAAAAACACCCTTTTTCCATTGAAGGAAATGTCTGCATTTCTTTTATTAAGTTTACATTCAACTCAGATGGTATATGGACTTTGTAGGAGCAAGCTAGGTAACTCGTGTGAAATTTTTTGGTCCACTGACTTTTAATTCGTCTTTTATTGCTTTGTTCTATCAAATGAGTTATAGATACTTTCATCAGACTTAAAAATGTTGCTCAAATAGCAAAAAGACTTTTTTCAATTACGTTTTTTGTAAAAAAAAAAAAAAAAAAAAAAAAAAACAAACAAACAAACAAACAAAATCAAACCAAAAAAAAAAAAAAAAAAAAAAAAAAAAAAAAAAAAAAAAATTAAAAATAGTCCGTCAAGTGTACTTTAATATGGATTGTATACAAATAAAACTTCTTTTCATTCATTTTTATTTATTTAAACACAGTACGTTAAAACAAAAACGTACAGTAAGTTCAGAAATTATTTCATCAAATTCAAATTACAAAACGTGAGAATATATGTAAAACATTATTTTTTAAAGGCACTTGACTAAAAAACACACATCTTTATAAATGTTAAAAAATATATAGATAAACAAATAAGAAATAAGTTTCATTAAGTCAAAAATCAAATCTAGAAACAAGTAGAAAAAATATTTAAAAATAATGTTAAAAAAAAAAAATCGGAAAACATAAAATAGCTATATTAAACGAAAATTAAACAAAGTAAATATTTCAAACATCATAAAAAAATGAAACATTCACAATCTTTAGTATTAAAGAACAGAATTTTATTAGTACAATATTTATTCAAAAAAAAAAAAAAAAAAAAAAAAAAAAAAAAAATGAAAATTAAAATCTGTTTGTAAAACTCGGTATTTTTTTAATGTAAAATGTTCATGCGGTTTGGGGTGGCTCTGTCGATTGACCAGCTGTTCCGTACTCTCGACGGTTTACGAAATTCGCGCTGGGGTTATCCATCCTCTGATATGGACGTTTAGATCTCCTGTGTCTTTTGAACATCAAGGTTACTACGGCAATTGTCACTATAACAACCAAGGTGACCCCAATTACGATGCCTGCTGTGGTACCAGAGGAAACTTCAGCTTCGTTATTCGTCTGAGAGTCGCTATTTGGTTTATTTTCTTTGTCGGAGTAAGACGGATCCACGGCGAGATCCGTCCAAGTTTCTCCACCAACACTGATCATGTACTCCTCTGTTACTCCTGAATCCACATACGCGTCTCCAGGAAGTTCCATAAATGGTGGTCGCCTCACAGGTGGAAGTCCTTTGTTGGCGAAAGCATGTGCTTTTACGCAGTAATCGATTTCACAGGAATTTTCTACTGTGGCTAGATGCATGCTATACCCCTTTGGACATCCCCGAGGCCATGAGTTTGGGCTGGACGACTTCAGATAGGAGAAAAGTGAGTGTAACATCTCAGGGTTTTTGGAAGTGGTTTCCTGGTGAATAAATAAAGGATTTCCCGTCATACAGCTGAACAGTCCAGCAAATGGCACCGAATAACGGAATCCAAGCTCATAGTCATCACTAACACACACTTTCATGTCTAGACCGAGTTTCAAAGGGTAGAAGTAGAGTGGGCAACCATGAGATTGAGTAAGCGGATTATCAATCGATGTGGTGTAAATACCACCAAACTGGAATCCAGATTGTTTGTCAACATGCCCTTGTGCAACACACCAATAGGCTTGGTATTTTGCCTGTCCGTATACCATATAATTATCACAACAGGTGGACCATCCAAGAAAACCGCAGCTATGACAACTCCTTCTACTCTCAGAGCCAGATCTTTTGCCCTCTGTAAGCAATATACTCTCATATCCACTTTGGCAAGAGTAACCACCAGTAAGAGGATTTTTCTGGGTGAGTCCTGTGCATAGATTTTGACGGAGTTGCCCTGACTGACTACAGGTCTGGTACACTCCCCCAAACGTGTAATTGGTCTCCGGACTTTCACACGTGCCGTCATCAACGTTGGCAATAAAGCTGAAATTCGGCGAGTCAATATTGGTACATCCCCTATAGACATTGAACTTATAGTATTCCTCTACTGCCCCTTTTACAGTTTGAACCAGGGGATATAGAATAGACGGTGGTAGTTCTGGAAGTGTCTGTGTTGAGATCAGGTCATATATCGGAAAACCTGATCTATCCACGGACACTAGGTCCAAACCAATTTCAGCAGCCCACTGATTAAGAGTAAAGTTGCTGGGCTGAAACACAGGCCCACCAAATGTCTTTACCTTCGAATGTGTGCGGTTTCCTAGATATTGATCTATAACCTCCTGAGACGTGCTATGTTTGTACTCAGCTCCAACGCTAAATATGCTCATGAAGGAGGCACTAGCCGCTGCCACGACTTGTCGACTGTCCATGCTGTAACTGTTACTAAACGTTGACTTTACCTCGTCTAACTGCGAAATGATTGCGCCTGCGTCAACGCTTGAAATGACGTGGGTACCGTAGTCTCTTACAAGCAATTGACTCTGGTATCGAGCCATATTAGTCTTGTTTGTCTGTATGTAATATGCTATGTTTTTTAGTCGCTTTCGAAAGGCTGGGTTGAGTGGAGTGTCGGGTTGTAATTTAGCAGAGTAGCGTATATACCGCGCCTGTACACGTGTTGTCACTGATTTGTCCATAATTTGGTGTTTACGCACACTTTGTGATTCATGAGAATATTTTCCACTGATACCAAAACTGCCTAAATGGAGTCCTGCTTCCACATTGACAGAGGACGATGTGGTGGCTGTATAATTATTCCAGTGCTGGAACAATTCTCCAAAGACTTCTAGCTGACTGGATTTGATGGGAACGGTAAATACACAATCTGGAATCAGGTACCTTCCGTCTTCCGTCGTCCGACACTCCGAGTAGTTATACTGTACAAGCATCCCGGCATCTTTATTCTGAAGATTATCCCAGCCGAGTCCCGGTAAAACTTCAAAACGGGCAACGTTTCCACCCATTTTCCAAGCACACCATTTTACGTCCCCGGGGGTGAAGGGATTTACAGGGGGTGGGGACGGAGGTTTCGGTTTTCCTTCAAGTTCAGCACCGATTGTTAATGCACAGAAAAATGTCCACAAAAGATAGAAACGTCCGATCGCCATGCTTGCGATTTGGATAACGAAAACAGGAAATATTAATGACAAGTCACGGGAATCCCATTGAATTGAAGCACATGATTCGTATTTTAAACTTTAGGTCAAGTGATAGACTGCTAGACATACGTAAGCATAAAATATGAGTAGACAGATATGAATTACAAAAATACTGTAAATTTCCGCAAACAATTTAAGTGTTGCCGAAATAATTCCTTAAGATTCTTAAAAAGGGGCTTTTCCAAAAAACACACTTGCACATTTTCAGAAAACGGATGAATTTGGAGTTGCTAAAACTTAGAATGGGAAACGGAACGGAAATCGTAGAGAAACTTTATATTGAAATTTAAGTTTCGAAAAGATTTTATCATTAATCTAAAAATTATAAACAAGGCTCCATCCCTAGAGTATTGGGGAAATATTGATTTACATTGTACTAGATTAAAAATGCAAGTTCTACCTAATTGCTTTATTTATTGTCTTGAAAAAGTTTTTTAAATTTCAAATATTTATTAAATGGGCTTGATTTTGATAATTTTATGAATTGGTCGGATGCTTAAAATGAATATTCGTATATATAAAACAGATAATTTTTTTTCTTGCCATTAACAGTAATGCACAAATGTAGCTAGGGTATCCTTTTGTCCATTCCTATACGTATTAAAACGAAATATTGTTATTGTTCAATGAACGTTTTTATTTCGAAACTTTTGACTTTTATTAATTATTATGAATAACCAAATATATCATTTAGAATAGTTTTTGTTTTCCATCCCGTTCCGTATACCGTTCCGCGTTTTAACAAGTCCCCTGTAAATCGAAAGGAATAACATGGAGTTATTTTTAACTTTAGAATTCCCATTTTCCATTACAACCAAAATATCACGTTAAAAAGTAGGACAGAGTGTATTCGGTTCAATTATTCTTCCTTCTTACAAAGGTACAGCTTCAGGAGAACATGTGATACTGTCGATAGTGTGTGACAGATTAAATATGGACAGACGAGTCAGCTGCTGAATGTGATGGCATATTATATATATATATAATCAGACGAAAATCTTTGACTAAAAACTCAAGACTTAATTAAATTAAATCGAGTGTCTGAAATTGAAATGCAATAATCCTAATTTTTTTTTAGTTTAAAAGTTATACATGTATGCAGGGGCTGACAAAAAGATTTTTCAAGCACTTGCCCACGGGCAAGTGCATGATCAAAATTCACTTGCCCTACTTCAATTTTTACTTGCCCCACCATAAACTATAAAGATAATTCTTAAGACAAAATAGTTTCAGTTTCATCTAAAACAACAAAACTTTCTTTTCATTCTGCCATTGTTGTCTAGCTACCATCCAGCATTTCATGTTCATCATATTGAATAAATTTGTCACCAAATCAGAAAAATTTCAGTACTATGAATCACAGAAATGCCCTGTAATCACCGTAATTTTGCAGTTCTGAATATTGGTAACTGTTGAAAACTACCGCCAAAAGTACAAGTACCATACCATTCGTGTCGCTATTGTAATTCAGCCCTACACATGCTTTTTGCCATTTGGTAGGAAAAATTGTTTCCGTTGTTTTTCTTCCTCATACTTATAGTAAGCATAGACCATTTTGTGGTTCTTTCGCTAACATTGTTATTGACCAGTGTTGACGATGTACTTATCATCAGCTTCTGATCGCTTTTCTGCCTCATAATTGATAAAACTTTCTCCATTTCTCAAATGCCAATTTGTCTCTTTCGGTTCAATAAAGAATTAAACTGCTTCACTTAGGAAGTGTCACAAGCAAAGGAAGATAACTCTTACAACAAAATGACATTAAAAAAAAATAATTATGGATTGATATTTTAAAGTTACTTGCCCACGGACTAGTGCATATTGAAATTCACTTGCCCGCCTCTAAAATTCACTAGCCCCGGGCGTCGGGCAATGGGATTTGTCAGCCCCTGGTATGTACGATATATCCGATATTATCTGAAATGTTTGCGGTATTATAAGGCAATATCGATGTACATGTAAACGCTGTGTAACTTAGGGTACTTCTCTCTCTCTCTCTCTCTCTCTCTCTCTCCCCTAGTTTTTCTACTGAAATAGGTAGGGAAAAAATCAGCAGTTTTTGATAAAAAAAAAAAAGGGGGGGGGGCGTCCAAGAACGTTTTGTATAATTAAAACCAGAGACACAAAATAATAAAGGTCATGTAAAACGAATGGATGTAAAAAGTTTTCAAAAATTTTTAATACTTTTTAAAATTATTTTTATTTTTAAGATTATTTTTATTTTTTGTTTTATTTTGAATTGCTTGTTTTTACTTATTGTACAAGAAAGAATGTGATCAAACTAAAAGGAAAACCATAAAACATTTTAAAATGATTTTCATATTTTCTTTTGTTTGTTGTTATTGTTTGTAAATCATTCCCCATTCGTATGGAGGCCACTTTGCATGTTTTCCAGAGCTATAGGAAAGAAGCGAAAGACATCATGCAGACATATTCCAGAAATAGGGAAGTTTTCTGATCTTGGATCCTCGCTAGCTTGCGAAAAAAAAAGACTTTTGGAAAGATGGAGCATTGGAAAGTGAGACAGAATTAGGTTCAGAGTACAAGCGCTTAAAAAATCAGAATGTATTTACGAGATGAGAGAAGTAAAGAAGTACATAACGTAAAAGTGTAAGAGAGAAATATCAGCTGGATGGAATTGCATTTGTGTTTGGAATTTTGGGACAACCCTATAATATATATGTATATATAATTCATATGTAATTACACATGTATGGATATACATAATGTAAAATTTGAAGAAAATGTAAGTAGTTAATGTAGTGAATTCATTTTATAGTAAATAAGTTAATAAATTTATTTGGAAAATGTGAATATCTCCTCCTTTTATCTTTTTTTTTTAAGCCGACAGGTGATGTTTACTCCACTGTGGCACCTGATCCCACCTCTAGTTTTAGAAGTCTGTATTGGCTCTGCCCATAGTTTGTATTGTTTAAATCGACTTTTGAGAATGATCATTGTTCCTTAATTTCACATTTCGTCCTTGATCAAACGGAAACAAAGCATCGTGTCAACGAGACGGATGTACATTATGTGCATATAAAGACAAAATGTCAGTTAAGTCCACGTGAATGTTATTATTCAAATATGTCATATACATGTACCTATAATTTAAGCTTTTACATAATACTAAGGGCGATACAACTGTGCTTTGATCAACACATTAATTTTTTTTGTAAATACGGTGCTTTCCCTTAATTGACGTCAGATATTAGGACTGGGTTGCTCAAAACCTTGGTTAGCGCTAAGGTGGCAGAGGATAGTTTCGCATTAAGTACCGTCAAAAATTAGAGAAAATAGAGGAACCTAAGGTCTGAATGTATATTATAGGTAATTTTATTGCTAGAATATTTTATATGTGCATTTGGAGGGAATTGGTGGCCTTGTATATTTTATTGATACGTGACACTTTAGTGTCACTACTACTGTTTATGGGATATGGACTAGAAATACGAAACTAAGATCAAAAATCACTCTTCCGGTATTTCACCAGAAAAGCGGGATGGGTTCATAGGATGAATTGTAGCTTGAAAACGAGGTGGTTGAGCAATTATCTCTTGCTGTTCAATGGTATGTACAAGTGTTGGTCTGCAATTTGTGTGGTAGCTTAGGGCATTAGCACGGGCCTGGAAGCAGTTGCGGATCCGGCGAAATAGTGAAAATAGGCTTAATTTACATGAAATTTTGAGATTGTCCCTGTGCCATCATTAGGGCCCATTGTGTAAGTTGTACATGTTTTATTCCTCAAAGCTTCAAATTCCTCAAGGAACTAGACCATACTATTATTACATGTAGAGAGAATTTAAAATTTTCCAATGCACATTTTAAAAGCTGCTCAATATTAAGGAAACCGTCAGTCAAACGTTTTGATTGCCAAAAAAACTATCCTCTGCCACCTAACTGCTGGTTAAATCCCTTATCCAGCGGTTAACTTTTGACCATTGGTTAAATTCTGTTGCTCAGAATTTATCCCCTGGTTAGCTTTGCTATCCAGTGGTTAAATATTTGCCAAAGTTAGCCATTCCACAGAGGTGGGTTAAGTCTCTTATCCAGTGGATAATCATGGCTACCTTGTTATTGTTTTTTTTTTTTTTTTTTTTTTTTTTTTTTTTTTTTGTAAATTTTGGAGGATAACATAAGAAGCAAAGGCTTATATGCATTGTAATCATGAATTGAATGTTGATGAGTAGTAACAAAGATAGTCCTTTATGTCCGTCTGTCCGTCTGTCAGTCTGTCCCACTTGGTTTTCCGCACTTTTTTCCTAAATGCTTGCAGATATTGAGCTAATTTTTGATATGTGGGTGTTGATGAGATACGAATAAGTTTGCATATCGTTCCGCTTCATTGATTTTTGACGGAGTTACGACCTCTTTAATTTTTAAGGGTTTTCCGCAATTTTCTTCTAAACGCTTGCAGATATTGAGCTGATTTTTGGTATGTGACTTTACCTTGATGAGTTATAGATCACGTTTGCATTTCGTCCCGCTTCATTGATTTTTGACGAAATTATGGCATTTTCAATTTTTAACGGGAGCCAGATTACACTTCCGGTAGGGGACTAGTATTGCTAATGCAATACTCTCAGAATGCTTGTTTATGTATGAGACGATGCAAATTGATGTACTTACTTTGTAAGTATAGCCAAGTATTGAATAGGAATTATGGCGAGTCACTATGCATTTTCTTTGACACTAGATTTAATGAGGACATAGTGCCCATCATCATCAGTTTTTACACAGCCTACTATCCACCTTGGCCGTGGTGCTAATTTTCCTATCAATACCATTCTATATTCTTATTGATCCTCCACTTGAATTTACAGCATAGTTTAATTTTAGCCAAACCTGTGCTTTCATGACTTTTTAGTGACTTAAACCGTTTGTTAGCGTTGATAATTGTTACATCTATTGGTGTTTCTCCACTTATTCAATGCAACTTCTCACTTTTTACTCATATTGTATTTACCATGGTAGC